GGGAGACAACGACAACATTTTCAAGCAGACATGAAAATGAAAGATATTCATAACGACTAAATAACGTCATACACTTTATATATCGCAACTGACAATGCGTGTTAACATATCTTAAAATTAAATTTTGTGCATTTAACACATTAATATGTTAGTTATAATAATGAAGTGGCCCTAAAGTTTAATAAACAAATCGAAAATGAATTATTTTTTTCCATGTTTTGATATCTACCGGGTACCTACCGATTCTTTCTTTTGCCTACTCCAAGTCAAAGAAGAAGTTGTAGCTGAAAGATGTGAGCTTGAACTGTATTCTTGTTTCAATATTCCTGTTGCACATTCAAATATTCGAAGGGTTCCATCCGAACTAGAATGTGCAAAATATTCACCATCATCTGAAAAACAACTTATCTGTGTCGTGGCCATTTTGTTTCCCTCAGCACGTGTAGAAAAGTATATATGTAACTTCCCTTACGGAAGAGCCTTTTGGTGACCAGCTTTGAAACTTTATAAACCGCTTGCTCCAACCCCATCCTTACTATATGCAGTACTTTTAAATATGATGATGATATTGTATTTTAATTTTAAAGAATTATCTGAAATAATTGTATATATATGCTTGAAAGAAATGGATTTAAACTAAATTTAGCAATAAAAACAATATTATATTGACTATAAAGGAGTTACGATGAATTGCAAAAAGTCATTACTCATTACTGTGTGACTGTGCGAGGAGTAAGATTAAGGGTACATTTCTATAGTTAATTAGGCCTACTGCATGTACAATGACATTATAGAGCACATTTATTTCTAAGCCAGGCACACGAGCCATTATTTTTATCCATGATTCCACTGGCAAAAGCAGGCTATTTGGTGGACCCCCCCCCCCCACACACACACACAATCACTTTTGTGAGTTTAATTACATGGCCAACTTTGTTTTTTTGCCATGCCATACATTAATATGTAATAGACCTACTTTATCTATCGGACACAACTTAAAAAAGGCATATTTTTAAAATTGTATGTAATAAGTAATAACCAGCTTAGTGTTTTTTAAATAGCTTGCATTTACTTTGGTAGGGCCTACTAAATTAAACAACCCCTGAAAAAAACAAGTTTTTCGTATGAATCCTTTATAAAATGTAAGATGATTATGATGATTGAGTACTTTTATAGCGCTTGCTATCAAGCAATGCTGGAGTGGGGGTGAACATTTTACAAAACATGCATACAAGTAAAGCACTTTATAAGAATACCAATTAGTGCTCCCACCCCCCTTTCCACGGCTCTCAACCCCACATTTGTTCACGCCCCTGAAGCATATTAATATGCTAATGACCCACCTACCTTTACACCGCAGATTTATTTCTCCAAATTATTTAGAATAACAAAAGAAAATATTACGAACCAAACGCACTTGCGATATGTTTTTTTAATTTTTTTATTTAAAGAATCTCATTTAGGGCAGTTATTATCAGGAACTTAAATTCATGAAATTTGTGGCTTAATTTTTTCTTCAATTTTCCTTGAAAAGCAGGAAAACGGATTTTTTTTGGGGGGGGGGTGGGGGGGGCATTTT